TTAGTTCATGTATGTGCAGATCTCATTGACTCATTGCATCACTTCTTGCAGACTGGAGTTTTGATCTTGACCCCTAAACCCTGAACCCTACAAAAACACCCTAAACCACTAAATCCTAAACCTTCTTGGCAGGATCCGGACAGGTCTCGTATCAGACCTTCAGATCGGTTGTGGTGAGGTTCTTGGCAACAAGGCCTGGCTGAAGCTTAGGGTTTAGGATCTGGGGTTTAGGGCTTAAGGTTAAGGGCTTAGGGTTTACGGCATATACCCATTACTTTGGGGTTTAGTGCTTAGGGGATGGCCCATGACTTTGGGGCTTTGAGTTCAGGGGATATACCCATTACTTCGGGGTTTAGGGTTTAGGGCTAGGGCTTACCCAGTACTTGGGGGTTTAGACTTGAGGGTCCGCTTCAGTGTCCATGGCCATCTCGCAGGTTTAGGGTTTTAGGTTTGGGTTTAGGGTTTTAGGTTTAGGGGGAATCTGCAAGCTCGCCTTGTTGTGGATGAGGGATCGGTGTTGGTAGTGTCTCTCATGCAAAAAGCAGGGCACGTGGCCCGCAAACACGAAGAAAATAAAGCATCGTTGTCCTACTGCGGTTAGTATACGGAATAAGGGAGTCTATTATGTTGGCATCACATGAATTAATATTCCTTATTTGTTACTAGCCGCCAGTAAGTTGTTCAGGGGTAGTTTATATACAGCACTTCAAATTTCAAGCAGAATTGCATCAAGCCTAGATTTGTTCCAAAGGAGCCCTTCAACCATAATCCTAGGGCTCCGAAAGGCGCAATGTAGGTTCCATTTATATACCCCACGTAGGTATTTTCTAGACTTAGATCCTCATGTAACTCCACTACAACCCCAGCCTCCATTTCATTTTCACGGATAACATTTGTCTTAAACCCCAAACCCTAAACCCCAAAGCCCTAAACCTTGAGCCCCAGTGATTCTGACAACCCCTTATCTCGCGTTCCATGTTTTCGGCCGCAGTCGGGACTTCCACTACGCGCTGTCGCCCGAAGAGTTCAACGCTATCATGTTCCGAATAGAGGCTTGATCTGCGCAGGGCCAATATAGGGGTTACATAGGGGATATCATGGGGTTATGTATAGGGAATCTATGCAGGGGATAGAAAGCCTTACAAGTACCCAAATAATCGGGAATCAGAATGGCTGTTGGGACCTAAAGCCCCAGTACATTTGGGCACTTGGACCCATAGGGGAAGTGTTGCTGTGCTCCTGGTCATTGCCAGGATCGCCTGGCACGCAATGGCACAACTATCGGGGAGGTCGGAATGAAACTTATGCTTCATTTGCTGCTGCAAAAGCGCCGAAGGCACTGGCAGAATTGGACACGAGCAAGACCGGCGCTCTGTCTGACACAGAGTTCATGCAAAGCGTCGGCCTGAGATCTTGGCATCTTAAGATGGTTTTTCAAAGAGCCCTCGCTGCCTGGATGGCTATGGTAGGTCTCCGCTTGCTTCGCTTGGGCGTCTCCAACAAGGAGGTGGCGCAGGCGCCTGGTTGAAGAGCACTTTCCCTTGTGGAATGGGCTTTGGGTTGAGGTCTTCAACTCCTTGAGCGCAAATTCCTTCAAGGCAGCAGGCGCCTTCTGAGATCTCATGTGAGCCGTTGTCTAAACTCCTCAAAGGGGGATATAGGGGATTGGAAAGGGGACTGCCATGCTTTTTCTCTCTGCCTGGTTCAAGGCACTTCGGATCTTCCCAACCCGCTGATGAGGGGGCAGGCGCGCCTCTTCCGGCTCCGCTGGCAGTGACATAAATGGGTAGTATTCTATTTGGGGATACTATGGTACCCATTATTGAGTANNGGTTCAACCACCAAAAAAAAACTACTCAGATGGGAGTTTCCACAAGTTATCGTGGTACCTTATTGGGGGTCCCCTCATAAAGATTCCAGTATCTATATCGGAGCTGGGAAACGTAGGCTGCGAGTTCCTGATGAGGAATTTCTGTTGTTGCTTGGATGATGTGCTGGCCATGATGCCTAGCCTTGGCCGACCTGCTTCTGGGTTGCTGTTAAGGAATTTAGTTTGAGTTATTATATTGGGGAAGCCATACATATATATATATATATCCATTATGGTAACTTATTTTGAGTTCCTTAACAGCAACCCAGGCTTAGAGAGACCCGGACAGGTTTCCATCCCTCTCTTCGCAGCATTGGTGACCAAGTGTAGCAAGGACAGCCGCCTGAAGGACCCGGCTCCGGGCACCCCTGCCATGCCAGACAAAAGATGGTAGTTTCTTTACATAGGGGAACCCCAATAATGTAGTCTCCTTAGGAATTACTTTTCATTGGTATTATAGTATAAGCCCTTGGGAATTATGATAGATATTCGGTTTATGATAGGTCTAAGGAGACTACAGAATATAGACCCTCAAATACAGTAATCCTTCTTACGGAGACCCCCAATAGGGTACCCCCAATTTTGGAAAACTCCCAAATCATGGAACATGGAAGGAGACAGCGCTGGCGGCGTTCGGCAAGTTCCGGACGGCACAGAGCCTTACAAACCCTTTACTTACTGGAGCTCAGTAGGGAATAAGATAATATATCACATCGGGATTATATAGGGATTATACCCATATTCCCTTGTCCCTCATATTATATGGGGCCAATATAGGGGGAGTATATGAGGATTGTACTTCCTTATCCCCTACTAAGAACCAGTAAGTTCGGGGCAAAAGATCATACAACTTGGAAGTTGCCGTGGACACAGAAAAAGGCGCCACCTCCTGGGATGAAGCACTCAGCTTCCTCCTGGGCACGATTCTTGAGGCCAGGGGCCATCCTAAAGACTTACTGGTGTTTCGTAGGGAATAAGGGAATATGACCCCTATATACTCCCCCTATCTGAGGGAAGGAATATGGGAATATAATCCCTAGAAAATCCCCCATGTATAATATGTTCCCTTATTCCTACCAAGCACATGTAAGGCCATCCTCAAGAACTTGACTGTAGCTTCAACTCCGGTGGAGGCACTATGCAGATCCTCCTGCGCGACAGTACTTGGTCCGCTTCCAATGGCCTTGCTGAAGTTCTTAGTAGTGAGTAAGGGAATAGATGACCCCCATGTAATATAGTGCCAGTAAGAACAGAGTTTCAGCTCTTGCTCCCTGCAGCTGATGCCTTGGGGAACGCGGAAGTCTGTGATTGCTCTGTCCAGCGCAGCAGCAGAATTCCAATCTATCTACGTTGTTGCTTATGCGGAGATCAGTTATTGCAGCTCAGCTTCAGCATTCCACAACACAGCATGGGCAGCATCCCATCGCAGTACGAAGGAATTTGCACTTGAATCCCATTTGTCACAGCCATGACTGTGGAAAACGCTGCGGGACTCAGTGGCAGCCGGAAGTAAGGCAGCCTTGATGCCAATCCTGGCAACCTGGCACTGAAGTTCTAAGATTCTAAGTCCACCATAACGCAAGGCATGGAAGATCGTTTCCATTTTCCTTTCCCTATATTATACCCTATTTTACTACTATATAACCATATATAACCCTATAATACCCTTATATTACCCCTATATTACCCCTAATTATGGGAAACCCTGTTACATTAATAGGGCGGCACAGAGGGGGGCAGCGCATATAGATGTTTCTCAAAATTAGGGGTACCTTTTTGGGGGTCCCTATAAGGCCTGTAGTATATTGGGGTCTATAATTATTGGGACCCACTTATTTTGGGAAACTACCATATGATATCCAGCCCGCCGTCGTCTGGCAGGATTCGGCTAAGCCTCCTCCCGCCCTGAGCCGTTCGTCCAAGCAGCCAGCGACGTTCGTAACGCCCCTGGGGGGTTCGTCTAACCCTGTGGGGGTTCATGACGGGTTCGTGGGGTTGGTGTGCAAACTGCGTTCGTGCCATCATGGGCGATCGTAAGAGCCGGGTTCATGTCATCGTTCGGGCACCCCTGATACTTTTGTTTGGTCCCGGTAGGCCCCAGGTTCTTGATTTGCTCCGCCTGCCTCGGAATGCACACCTTCGCAGCCAGGTCGTGCGCGTTCGTCAAACCATGCTGCGTTCGAACTAACCCTGGTTGGGTTCGTCTAACTTCGTGTCGGGCCTGGAGAGTTCGTGGAAGCTGTTGCCCCTCGTTCCAACCAGTCTTCAATTCCAACCTTTCGAGTACTTTCGCTTTAGGGACCGTGGCGCTGCTAACTCCGCTTAATACCTCCTGCCGCCCTCGGAATGTGCGGTCCCCCTCCGGGAGCCCCTTCCATTAGTAGCCTCAATAGCCTCCTCTTGCTTCCGTTTCATTATGCAGCAGTTTCCATTTTCTACTCCAGTGTCTGCGGGCTCTGCCTTTTCAAGAAGTTTCCATTTTCTACGCTATCCCTCCTGAGCTTCTGCTTCCCCAAATACATATTCATTTCTCCATCCCTGATCTCATCTAAGGTTGAAACATGGGCCCCTAGCCTGGACCCTTAACCCTGGGATCCTTATATACCTGCCATACATCCTATATGTACCCTTAAGGGTCCCTGGAATCCCCCTAGAAGGCCTAAGGGCCCATACTACTCTTGATACGAGAAATCCTATAGTGCTATAATTCCCCCACTGTAGGGGCCCATACTTGAAACCCTGGAAGTAAGTGTCAAAAAACTGAAGCCCAGTTTCTGTTTTCCTTTTCCATTATCCCCATATTATCCCTATATTACCCTATAACCCTAAACCCTAAAACCTAAGCCCTACACGGTATTACCCCTATATTGCTCATCAATCCCCAGTCAGTCTTGACAGGATGGTGTCCTCCAGTCAGCTGGCTGGATCTTGGTGACTGCGCTGCTTGCAGAGGCGGCCCGGAGGGCCTACAACATCCGCCTTTATGCGATCCAGGCTGGGTATATTGTAGAGTTCATCATGTTGTTGTCCACGAAAATCATGGAAAAGAAGTTGGGAAGCACTTTATACTACTGGTGGCTAGTAGGGACTCTATATCATATATGCACTTATTAACTCCCAGTACTTGGTAATGTATACTATTTGGAGGCCAAGGCTCCTTGTAGCACTGTTCCCTTGCAAGGAATATGGGCCAGTGATCCATGAGTTCGACCCTTGGTTCAACTACCGTGCCACGGAGTACTTGGCAACTCATGGATGGAAGAGGTGCGCCACTGATTCACTGCTCTCAGGAATCCATAGTATGACCCTACATAGTCCCCATAATATAGGGATTATGTTGGATTACATTATAATCCATGTATACTGCCTCTTAATACATTAGTGTCCATTTGAGGCTCCATTAATTATGTATTATGTTGCTGGATTCTTCACTTGAATGTTCTCAGGTTCTTCACCTGGTTTGATCACCAATCCTGGTACCCGCTGGGCCGTCCAGTTGCAACGACCCTTGGCAGTTCAGAGAAACTGTGCCCTTAGAAACCTTCTTGGCTTACTGGTGCCTAGTAGGTAGGGAATAAGAAAATGGGAATATAGTCCCTATAGTTTTTATTGATCACTACATAGCATGTTCCCGCTAAGCCCCAGTAAGTTGGGTTGACGTGGAAGGACCATCTATCCGGGAATGCAGATCACAGCGGTTGCCTTGTGGCAGATGTTGCAGCGCTGTGATCCATCCTGGACACTGAACCTGGTTTGCTGCTACATGCCGGCATGGCTGCCTGGCATGCATCAACTAGCAGGGGTATGAACCTATATGAGTTCTATCGATTCCGTATACAAAATGGTAAGTAGCAGTTCCCATTTGATGTCCCATCATGTATTATGTGTAAGGGTGTAGCATTGAGAAGCTTTGCATCCCAAGAGGTTCGGTGGTGTCTCTGCAGTGTTTGCCGGGCTCCTGACGTTGGAATGCTCTGGATTGGGTGCTGCAGCCGTTGTGGCGAGCCTTACCATGGCCATCGTGCCCGCCCACCTTTCCCGATCTGTTGGAGGAGGCGCCAGGAAATCAAGAAATCTAAACTTTGATGGCTGGCTGTGCCTCTATGTCAGCAGCTCCACTTGCTGTTGCGTCTCTTCCCTGAGGATTTGACAACGAATCTGTGGCGATGCCGGCGATGTGCGCCACTTTCTTCTTCTGGTGCAGGGCTCTACGATCTGCAAAGTCTTGGCCCATTGCAGCGATGGCAGGGCCTTCATCTTAGAATTCACCAGCTGCAAGCTGCCTCAGTTCTTATCAAAGCTACAGAAGTATCCATTTGAGGCTGGCCTACGCCTACATGGCGGCTGCGTGGGGCGGCTACATTCTGGTGTTGACACTCGGCTTGAAGCTTGAAGTTCATTGTTCAGTCCTCGTGATGCCATAGGCCCCGGCTTAAACATGTGCCCGGAGATGGGATTTTCCCAAAGTTAGGGGTGCCATTTTGGGGGTCCCTGTAACAAGGGCTATAGTATCTTGGGGCTATATTTGGGTCCCCCTACTTAGGGAAACTGCCACTTGCGATACCGTGCCTGAGGAACATGGTGGGTTTGCATGCAGGGCTCTTGATGCTGTTCGGCTGCGAGGGCAAGCTCTATGAGGCTGCCGTGCCACTGAAAGCAGAAGTGAACCCGAAACCTTGAACCCTAAATTCCTAAATGATATATAGTGGTTTCCATTTTCCCTCAATTCCTAAATGATGTATAGTGAATAGTGGTTTCCATTTTCTTTTCCATTACCCCTATAAAATCCTAAATTCCTGAATAATGTAGTTTCCATTTTCTATCCCATTACCTCTACAGTCCATATCTCCTTTTCTCAGCCCTGCTCTTGGAGGCCTACAGTCTGTTCTTTGTGGTGGGGACTGCTCTGGCTATGCAGGCCCGCAGGAAGATTCAATTGCATAAGAGACATGGCCCAGAGTCCTGCAAGTTAGGGTGCTGACCATTTGGGGGTTCCTCAAAATAATCCCCATAGAATTCTTCATCAAAGCCCAAGTAATCCTTTGAGGCCCTACATGTAGGGTCAATGTTGAGCAGTTCCCATATTCTAGAGAGTCAAGTATACAGATAATACCAACATTGGGGCCTGAAGCCTATAATTATTACTGTACCTTCATTTGGCTATTTGGATCCCTACAGATACTACTGGTAAGTGCTTCACCATAGTGCTGCAGGTGCCAGTGGTATCTTGGACACCGCTGCGCTCAGCGGAGCAGTTGGGGCCCTTGGCGCTCTTTGTTCTCTTCCAGATCCAAAAGGCGTGATATTAGGGTTATATAGGGGTTATATATCGGGGTCATATTGGGATATCGGATAATGGAACGGAAATGGAAACTACTATTTAGGGTTTAGGGCTTTGGGCTTAGGATGTGCCAGAAACGAAGCTGGGCACTATGGGAATGAATTCTGAACTGGTGTATGAGTTTTCCGGAACACGGTTCCCAATCTATGGACGAGCTAAGGTGAACTACTCTTGTCAACTTCTCGCGTGGAACCTTTCCTGGGTTGCTAAGTTAAGGAACTTAATTCAAGTTACTGTATTGGGTAAACCCTGTTCACTACCATGTATATATAATATATACATATTACCCATTATGGTAACTTAATTTGTTCAAGTTTCTGGAGCCTGGCCAGGCTTATCGGCGCTTCCTCAAGCCAGACCTTTTCCGAGAGCTGGGCCTGTTGGCAGTGTTGGTCCTGGCTCTGGCCTTCTTGATTCCTTCAGGCAGAGCGTCCTGCTGGGAAGCCCAGGGGTACCCTTTCACCCCTTTTTGGGTTCAGGGCTCCTCTATTCAATCAATCCATCAATCAATCAATAGGAAAAAGGGTAGCCTTATGGTACATTTGGCTACTGGGATACCAGCTCTGAGCTGTTGAGACCCTAAGTTCTACACCTGTAACTCACTGACTTGGTGGCATGCAGGTTACATTGGCCCCTTCTCAGTCAGAGTCAAAGCCCTCTTCGTGAAGCAGGCCAAAACTGGGAATCCACTGGTAGACTCGGTGGCTGAACATCAGCCCGGGAGTTCCGACGCATACCTGAACTACCTGGGAATGGTGTACTACGTGGCCCCCTGGGGAGTACCGGCAATATTGCTAAGACCACGCAAGGACCTTGGCCTCTTCTTGCTATCATTGGCAGCTGTGAGCCTCTTCTTCTCCCTGCGGATGCGGCGCCTGGTCCTGCTGATGGCCCTGCCGGCCTCTGCCCTAAATGGCTGTGCCCTGGGTCAACTCTTTGATCAGTTTCTTGCCAGGCCTGTACTCCTTTCGTTGCAAGAAGCGGAGCAGGAGGAAGGAGACGGAGGATCCTTTGCACTTCAGGTTCTCCGGACCTGGAATCGGCCTTGGATGCGTGCTGTGCGAGTTCTTTGTGGCTTGGCCATGTGTCACCAGTTGCAAAAGGGCATCGAGGAATTCGCTAAGTTCTGTGACGACAAGGCTCGGTGGTCGCTGTCGCATCCCCAAATCGTCACCAAGACACGAGGCGGGACCCTGATCGATGACTACCGAGAGTCTTATCTGTGGCTGCGCGAAAACACCGCCGAAGATGCCAGGATTATGGCTTGGTGGGACTATGGGTATCAGATCGCAGGAATGGCGAATCGCACTACAATCGCAGATGGCAACACTTGGAATCACGAGCACATAGCGCTCTTAGGCCTGTGCTTGTCTTCCCCTCTGAGGGAGGCCCATGCCATTGCGCGGCACCTGGCGGATTATATCCTGGTTTGGGCTGGAGGCGGAGGTAAAGATGACGTAGGCAAGTCCAAGCACATGGCCCGCATCGCAAACTCCGTGTACCATGGCCATTGTGCAGAAGATGACTGTGACCAGTATGGGGTTTTCCCCGGTGGGAAGCCTAGCAAGATGATGCGGGATTCACTTGTCTATGGCCTCTGCGGAAGAACTGCTCTGGATACAAACCTCTTCGAGGAAGTTTACTACAGCCAGAACAAGCGCGTTCGTATTGTGAAGGTGCACCAGGTGTCCCAAGAGTCAAGGGCCTATGCAGCCGAACCCAGCAACCGGCTTTGCGATGCGCCTGGGAGCTGGTACTGTCCTGGAACGTATCCACCTTCCCTGCAAGCCCTCTTCAACCGGAGCGAGGCTAGTAGAGAGGCTCAGGCGTATCAAAAAGCCTACGATGCCCGCATCCGGGAGCAGCTAAAAGAGCGGCCGGAACCCAATGGAGACGGATTGCCTACTGGAAGCTACCTGGGCTCTTGCCGAGGGTGTCGTATGGAGGCCAAAGTGCTTCATTGCAGTCACTGCCGTTTACCCGGCTCGCCATCACTTTCTTCCTCTTTGGACTTGGACACCTGCTGGGTACCCAAGGTCAATAATATTCATGGACACCTGCAGTGTGAGCCTAAGCCCAATGGTGCCAACATCCCAGCGGGTGGGTACCAGCAGTCTTGCAAAGGCTGTGAGCTTAATTCAAGGGGCTTCCTTGCATGCAGTCATTGCTCCACAGCATCAGGTAAGCAAAACCCTTCGAGTTACAGGTTGGACAACTGCCCAGCCCCTGGTACCTTGGACAACGACAATGGACGACTGACTTGCAATGGCCTGCCAAATGATGCTGCTCTTCCTTCAGGGCCCTATCTGCACTCATGCCAGGGCTGCCAACTACAACAGCCACATGTGGTCTGCAAGCTTTGCCGAAGAGCTGATGGACAGCAGGTGGAGTCCAGATACGAGCTTGACAGATGCCCGCCGCCTTCATTCAAGCTAGATAACCAGGATGGTCGCCTTGTCTGCGTGGGGACATCCAATGCCGAGAAAAGTGCAGACAGGATCTTGAAGCTTTGCTACATGTTGTTACCTTCACCATGCCTAAGCCTTGAAATCTAGCTAGGTCCCTCCAACCTGTAGGTAAAAGTGGTCTTTAAATGGATGCGAGAACTTTTGACGTTTGGCATCTCTACGATCTAGGGACACGCAGAGAAGTTTTGGTGACTTCCGTTTGCAGGCGACGTGTGTTGCTAGGCAGCCTGCCCCGCTACCACTGCAAAAATGGGAAGCCAAGGTCAGGGGTGTAGGTTGGGGGATTCACTTTCCCCCAAGAATCTATGGTCTAAACTCCTTAGAGTGGGTTCTATAGGGGATTATTATAGGGGTTATTAAGGGGATATTAGCAGTTTAGGACTCATGGCCTCAAAGTTCATGCCTTGGCGCTCGCAGAACTTTGGAGCTTTCTCGGCCTTGCTCATGGACATCGACTCATCAACAACGTTTGGCACCTTAGACTTCTAAGACTGAAAGTTCCTTAAAATAAGAGTACTAGTAATAAGAACAGCAAACCAGTAGTGATAATATTCATAGTCCTAGTAAGATTGGGTACCGCACGACCCCTCCCTGAGCAGCAAGAGTTGGCCCCAAGGTCGCCCGACATCAGCAGACTCTGGCTGCAAGCTCGATTGGGTAGTTTCCCAAAATTGGGGTACCCCAACATAGACCCCAATCCAGTATGATCCTTATTATAGGGATCCCCCAAAACAAGGTGCTCTTAATTTTGGGAAACTCCCATGTTCAGAAGTTCACACATTCTACGAGAATGAGACCGACTTGTAAGGTGTGTCCTTGAGAAGGATGACCAAGCGGTCAGCCTGCCTAGCTTTGCATTGATGCTGCCTGGTGTTAAATAGTAATTAAAGGAAAATGATGCCTGAAGTTGGGAAGCTCTTGTATCCTTTTGGAGCTGATGTGCAGAACTACCCAAAAAAACAAAATGGTAGACTCCCCTAACAAGGGGACACTGGGCTATAGCCCTTACTATAGGGAACCCCAAACGGTACTCAATTTGGGAAACCCTATATACATATATATATATATACACCTATACACTCCCTATATATCCCTATCTAACCTCTATAGCCCCTTCAAAGGTTTACACCCTCCATGTTGGGAACCACCAAATCTGCTAGCCAGGATGAGCCCCTGGTCCGGATCGAGGCCACGGCTAAAACAGTTCGGCTGCACCTGTGTGAGCTCTGGTCCAAACTCCTTCGAGGGGGGCTGTAAAGGGATTTTGGGTTTAGGGTTTAGGGTTTCAGGTCTAAACTCCTTAAGGGGGTGTATATAGGGGTTTATAGACAGGACTACTTTCGGGGTTACAAAGGGGAACACCAAGAGTTAAAACCACAGCTCATATGAGCTATAGTCTAGTTCTTTTTTAGGGTGGTCTATGTAGGGGATTCTCCAGGGGAGTATCATAGGGGTATTAAGGGCGGTACGATGAGTTTAGACCTTGGCTCTCATATAGGATATTCTCAAAATTATGGACCCTTTTTGGATGTAGATTAGAGTACTGCGCCAAATAGTCAGGGGTACAGCTGCAGTCTAAATTCCTTTCAGGGGGGGGGTATGTATGTAAGGGACTATAATCTAGGGGGGTATTATAGGGGTTACGAAGAGAGATACTAGGATATAAGACTATAGCTCATATAATGCCTGTAGACTGCCGCTAAAATGTTCCAAAGAGGGAGCTCACACAAGAGGGGAGCATCCTGCCGCTGCTTTTCAGGAGCTCCTTCGGTGGATGCAGCCGGAAGGCTCACCTGCAAAGCACAATTTGCGTGTACAATATATTCCCAGCTTCCATTTCATTATTCATGTGATTTTTCCATTTGGGTCTCCAGTCTTGGAAGAAGAACCCCATATATCCTCTTATCAAGTCCCAATATATCCAGCATCCCGACTTGCAGGACGTATTGGGCCATCGTCTTGACAGGCGTTGAGAGCCTCCACCATGGCTCGGTGAATTGTGCTGAGCCGCGATGATGATAATGCTCCAAGCCCGCATTTGCTCCAAAGCCGGACAGTGCGGCCTGCGCAAAGCCTGCGTGCGAAAAACTGATAGGTTCCGTGCAACGCTGCACATGTTTTCATTGGCCCCACACCTGATGCTGGCCTCACGGGATCAGGTTGTGAGGATTGAGCAGAGGCTTGCGGCATGCATTTTGAATCCGCATGAAATAGATGTTCACTGATGCGTGTGGCTTGAGTCCCTTGGCTTCCAGCGAATTTGCTTGCTGGGGTTGCTGCCATTTCGAGATGTTCCGAGCACCCAGGTTCCTTCTTTGAAGTGCAACGTTATGTGTTTTGAGTTGTCCGTGTAGAAATGTAGCTTCCTTCCCAATAGCCCTGAGCTGAGCGACGTATAGCCTAGCATTGTTAGCCTGTGAGGGCTGAAGTCACAAATTATGATGCCACAAACATCAACAAAAACCTTTGGCTCCTTGAACCACGTGCATTTCTATGGCATGGGCTACCATTAAATCCCAATACTGCATATAGACCAACCAGTGGATTGCATGATGGGTGAGCGGCTCTCCAAGTGTTTGTACCTGCCTGGTGCAAGAGCAGCACATGTTGGATGTGCGTGGTAGCGCTGACCATTAGGATTTCATCTTTCAGTGCAGAGGTGCTTCTCACGGAGGACGTGGTTGTCTGTCAGCACCGTCAGAGATTCACGAACGCGCGGTGGACCCAGCTTTGCCCGTTGGCATTTAGTATGCACTATAAGTATCTGCACTCAGAATCGCCACCTCTGCAGCAGCGGTGGAAACATGACTGTAGACTGCGAAGTTGGGCAATGGCAAGAGTGGCATTTGTGCCGATGACTCAGTGTATTCCGGTGAATTACCTCTTGCAGAACTCACATCCTGCCATTGCAAGGTAGCAGGTGTGATGAGGAAAGTACTCCCTTTTGGACTATCTTACGTCGCGTGGTTAAGCTATCCAGCATCAAGCTGTTGAACCCTTGAAGTTGTACACAACAGGTTGAACCTTCATAAGATTCTTGCAAGCGGAGCCCGTGATTTCTGTTTGTTTGTTTCATTCCTGCTTATTGCTGTCTTTTCTCCACCACCCCCGCCACCTCCACCACAAACCTCCTCCGCCTCCACCGTTTGGCGAAAGACATGCTAGTTGCTGCAATCTAGTAGCAGCCCTGAAGCCAACCCAGGCAATCCAGGCGGTGACTGGTTTCGCTCTTCCCGGACCAGCATGGTCCATGCAGGCGCCTGCTGAACAAGTTTCTCTCATGTGCCTGCGCCTGTTCGTCCCGTGGCGCCATCAAGCTGAGACCATGGTGGTCCGTACCCGGACGTACCTGGAGCAGCACGGCAGCAGGCTGGAGCACGCGGGAGCTTGAACTGTCGAGCTCGGTGTCGATGCTCGGGAGCATCTCAGGAGCATGTCAACCAGACTTCTTGCGCGACCTTGATGTGAGACGATGGGCGAAGTTGTGCGCAGCCAGCTGTGTGCAGTTGCGCGCGGCATTTGTTTTCAAGGGCTCTGTCAAAGGTTGGTGAGAGGGCGATCACGCCTTCAGACCTCTCACTGAGTGCAACTGAGGTGGGGATATGGTTGACAAAACTCCCCATGCCTGGGAGGTCCACGCATGTGTTTTGCATTGGTGCAGCTTGGCAGGTCGGATTGTGTCTGCACCTTGAGGGAGAGGCCGTTGAGGACTTCGGATTCCCATGCAAGGAGGTTCGCTGGGAAGAACAACCAGTTGTGAGCGTGCCGCCGGATGTTGAGATCGGAGCCCAGCAGCAAGTGGCGCTTCCAGCAGATTTGAGTCATTGGGCTCTCTGCGGTGCTGCCGTCCTGCATCTCTTTGCAAGGTGCGGGCTACCATGGCAAGGCCCGATAGCTTTTGGAAGCCAACCTCGAGAGTCTCCCTGGCCGCAAGGGAGCAATCAGGCAGCACCAGAAAAGGTTGGCCAGCATGTAGCTCTGGCAGGGTGGTGGCCGAAGCAGGTGACCACATCCTCTACGAGCTCCGGTTCCTCAAATTCACCGTCAAGGGGACAGGCGCGTTGCAGTAACAGGTCGCTGTCACCCCAAGAAACCGCCGCTTCAGTCTGTTGCAGTGTAGCCAGATGCGTGCCAGCTTCGCAGGACAGGGCAAAGCCAGGGCAGCACTTCGTCAATTGATCGAGCAGCAGAAGCAGCAGGCGATTTGATTCGGTTGGTTGGAGTGATCGGGTGATGACCTTGCAGGCTACAGGGCCCTGCAGGGTCATTAACCGTGGCTGCAGTGGTAGATGTAGAAAAGTAGTAGTAGTTTTTTTTCTTCTACTGGTTACTCTGGTACCCTGGTAGGCTGTGTAGGTAAAAGATGGCTGTGTTTCTCCAATCCTCTATGGCTGTGCCTTGAAGGCGGCGGGCCATCGGCCCAAGTGGCTTGTGAAAGTTAGCGGGCTAGTTCTTGCAATGCCAGTCTCATGACCGAATAAGTCAATCAAAGCATGATGCTGCACTCTCTGATGGCATTCGACACGTAACTTGTCACAGGAGCCTGCGAAAAAGAGCACTGAATCCCGTGCCAGTTGGTTCCAGACAGGTTTGCAAGTCCATGCATATTACGGCCAGCGCTTAAATGAGAAGATTTCGGCCCGAGAAGAACATGCAGAGTATCGCGAAGTCTTCACCTCACTGGCTCACACAGCATGGAGTCTGCATTTACCGACTCCCTTTTGGCGGAGATGAAAATGTTTCTTCGCCATTCAGGTGCTTTGTCTGTGCGGACCATAAGTTTGTGGTTGTGATGCGTGTTCCTGTCTTCTCCATTTGTGATTCATGGTTTCCAAGACCGCATTCTTGTTTGGAATCACGTTTTCTGAACTCACGGTTTTGAGTTTCCGAGACTTGTAGCATTATTATTATTATTACTACTACTACTACTACTGCTCCTCCTCCTGCTGCGGCTGCTGC